TTCTTGTTCTAGTTATTTCAGCATTAAAAGTTTTAATGTGTGTTCTGTGTTAATCTACATCCGAAATTCGCCAGTGATAGTACAGCTGTAAAATAAATTAACAGATCATATTCGGGGTTTACGTCCTTTTTTCTATCTTCGCTAGCGCGATTACAGTTGACATCTCGAACTTTTGTTGTAAGGTGCAACTAATTCAAAGTTTCCGCAAAACGTTTTCTCTTTTCTAATACACGTATTCTGATTCAGAATTTGGCGCTGATCACGAATATCACCTCATTTTTTCGTTTAGACCGTGTAGAAAATTAAACTTTAAAGATGCAAATGATATCAGCAAAGGACTGTTAAAAATTGCACAAGAGTAGGATGAATACAAGAGTAGGGATGTTTTCATAAAGAAAAATGCAAAATACTGAGATAGAGTGACGAACGTCACAAATCTGCCCTTCGAAAAAAACAACTGTAACTCCGTCCCATTCCACTTTTCGAGCTTTTTGACGGGATATTCAGATTTCTGTTTGTTTTTTTGAGAGACAAACGGCCATTTAAAGGTTTTAAGACTCTCCCCTCTGCTCGGGCCCTGGACTTTACAATCATTCATCGGCAAAAGACCTTTAGTGGAGGAAGCTCACACCTCAAATGGCACCTCCCACTAGAGACTATGCGCAATGTATTGTCGCGTGTTCATATCTTCGTATAACGCCTGTCACAGTGTTCATATATTCGTTAGTGTGCAGGTCTGTCACACATTGTGAACATCCTTACAAAGCTTTGAATCAGAGACAAAGTTCAACCATCCTTTCGGCTGGTGTTCGCTTGCGAGTTATCCACAATATCTTATGCAATACTTGTACGTCCGTCCGTCACACATTATTCAAATATCTATATTATCGTCGCACTAATCTTCAAAATCTCTGTGTGTATGTAGCTTCAAAAATTTCCTTTACTATTATCCATTTCAAAAAACAAAGACCATGGTCATTTGTTTAATAACTTTTTCTAGGATGTAGCTACGGGGCTGCAGTTTTCACAAGTCGATAGAAAAATGTTGGGGTAATAAGAAAAACCAAAAATTATTGTCCCAAAATCACCTATAGGTGGTGCACCCTGCGAAGATATTTGCGAAAGATGTGACACCACTGAAAAAGTTTCGGATTTTGACTTTTGAGACGATAGGCAGGTAGCCCGGACTGAGATATTCGTTTCTAGAGCAGTCCTCAATATGAGTCTCTAATATGAGATTCAGCGGGTTTAAACGTCAAAGGGTTTCTGGAAACCTCCTGTAAAACCTTAGCCTGGAAAATCCACAACTTTGCAGTTTTACAAGCGCTATCTGATTTATGATCATTTTTCATATATCTACCGAAAATTTGGTGTGTTTCTGACTTAAAATGGCTGATATACGGCAATAAGATATCTGTTTATATATACGAATGTATTTCCTATGGACATCATTCAAAGGATCGTGTACTAGGAGAGCAAAAGGTTGTTCAAAAAAACCTCCTAACTGATTAGTTATTTTTACTGAATCTTTCTTAATATTCCTAGTTACTGTCAGTCCACGAAAAGACGGAGAATAGGAATGAAATGCAGGACGCACAAAGCGCCATATATTTTGTCCTTGTGAACGAGATCGAAGATGTTTTCCACGTTTTTTCTGTTCGTATTTTGCTCTTTCATTGCAAAATATCTTTCTAATAGCTAAAAATTCTTTAAGATGAGACAAGAAACGAGTTCTTCTATATTTTCTTTTTCCACTCACAGAACGAGCAAGAGAAACAAGAACAGGTGGCTAGGGTGGCCGGTACTGTTTTACAGGAACATATTCGCTCGTTCTATCACGCAGACAAGCAAGAAAAGAGTGAAAAAAGCTTGCTCATCAAAATTATATACACGTGAATTCCAATACATATATAAATAAGAAAGAATAAAAGTAAAAATCTTCCAATTTGTTTTACGAAACACACCGTTATCAGATATAGCTATAGAAGACGAGTATAAAACAGGAAAATGATAAGGTTTCACATTCCCATCCAGAACTATCATTCGACGCCGCAAAATCAATAGTAGAATCAGATTTTTTAGATGTGGGAGTGGAGGAAAAAATTCCTTCACAATCATTTGTTTCCATCCAGTCTTTCAGTGCTAAACCACTGATGTTATTAGTGGAGCACTTCCAGTCACTATGTTTCGCATTGAAATCATAAAAAATAAAAAATTTCTTAGTTAAAAACTTTTCAAATTCAGAAAAAGGAGGCTTGGACTTAGGTGGGACGTATACTGCACCAATAAGGATGGGAAAACGTGTGACTTCAATCTCAATCAGGAAAAAGTTCTCAATTCTATGTATGGCTTTACACTTTAGGGAAGAATGTAGCAATATTACCACTCCACCAAAAGAGTTCCTTCCTATTTGTGTATGCCAATAATAATTTGGCACAGAAGGCATTTTACGAATCAAAGATCCTACGCCCGTTAGAATAACAACATGAGGGAGAAGGAGAAAGTAAAATATCAAGATCTGACAGGTGCGTACTCAGACATTTACAATTATATAAAAGGACAAGAAGATTCTCCACTTCATTCTTTGGCCTGGTCCTTTTCCACGATTCACATAAATTCGAAATGGAAGTTTTTCTATTCCACTCATTTAAAATATTTAAAATAGACATTTTGTCTTCAAACCTCCCGTCAAACTTATCAACTGCAGAAAGAGAAATCCAAGACGGGGCATACTTGAAATCGGGGCTATCCATTGTGTGCAGAAAAGATGGATTCCATAGCCGATTGATATAATTCAATTTTTTTTTGCATAATGGTGGAATATTGGATCATTTCTCGTTGAAAAGAGTCTTTCAATTGCATTAGATGAGTCATTTTGGCTCCATTTGCGTTTTTCATACTTTCAATATGTTCTTTTTGTTCATCACCAATTGTAGTACCAATAACTTGTTGTATGGATGCTAAGCATTCATTTTGTGCACGAACTTGCTGTTGCAGAATAAGCCATCCTTTTTTAACTGTTTCAATTTGTTTTTCATATAAGCTGTTGATTCGATTTTTTTCTTCATCAAAATCTTTCTTTATCTTATTCAATTCATTGTCAAATGCTCTAATTGCCGAATCCAAATATTCATTTGACAGTGATGTATCTGTTGCTTCTTATCTACTAGTCCAAAAATCCATAGTTGGAGGATGTGAAGAATAATTTTTGACAGTCAATTGGAATAAACATACGTACATGTACTGGTAGCTTGTCAGTATTATTTTTCAATTTATCCAAAAGGTTTTTCCTAAAATTAACTATTGTAGGACATTTGTAATCCGTCGATATATGATTAACACCACAATGACGGCACTGAATCACACATTCAATATGATTATCTCCATTTTCTTTATTTTGACCACATCGTCGACATATAACATAGGGAGCTTGACAGGTTTTCTTAATATGACCAGATAAATTACATTCCGTGCAAATAGAAATCTTTGGTAGAGGTAAATATTCGTCGACATCAAGTACAAGTCCTTGGATAACAATTCTCCCATCATAAAGAATTTTCTCATATTCATTTTGTTGCTTGAAGATAACACGAATATGCCGAGCACTTGACTGAGTAATTCCCATCATTCCATTAACCATAAATATAGACGAAAAACGAGGTTTTATCCCATAAAATACATCATCTTTGAAATGGTAGTAGGAACGAATTTGATTACAACAGAATTTTGTGCAGGTAGTCCGTTTGGTGGTTCCAGCTTAATCTGCACATTACCAGTAGAAGATGGACAATGATTGTCATCACATAAATACATATAAAAATCAATATCGTCAGTAACACCACATAAAAGATTTCCATCATCTTGTAACCACCACTGATCTAATCCAATTGGATCTTTATGGCGTGGATATTCATTACGAAAATTCAATGCAATGTACTTCATAAAGTCCTTTATAAACTGAACACCAGTGTCCTTTGATCGAAGAGCAGGATTACAATGTATTCTAACCATAGGTAGACGAGTAGCAATAGAATGTACTATGGCTGGATCAGAAATAAGAATCTGTTCAGAATATTGTCTAGGATCAATATTTTCTTGTTCATTGAACTGTCTTTGAAGATTTCGATTTTTGTAAATTTTTTCTTGATGAGGACCATTATAACTTACGGTTTTGGGTGTTTTAAAATAAGTAGATTGATCATTATTCATAGGAGTATCTATATCTTCGTCATCAGATCTTGATCTTGCAACTTTTTTACTGACGTTACTGTTCAAGTCTTTCCATGTTTTTAAGCCCGACTTGATTTTGTTTTGGATCACGAAATGGTTTTGTCGTTGCACTCATATCACCATGTATCTTGTTTTGTGAAATAATATTGATAAAATTGACCAAAATTACAGAAATTAATAAAAGAAATAGCTCACGTGTACACACACGTGACACGTATATGTAGAGAATGAGAGAAGAATAATAATAAGAAAATGCGTCCGATCACTATGAAGGTAGGAGGAGGAATGACACCGTGCTCATATGTCTGTGCATACGTATAAAGATCACAAGTGTATCCAAACAAGAATACAACAATTTTATTGTGGCGTAGGAAGCGGGTTCCCCTTCCAAAAGACGAAGACACCTAACCACAAATTTCTTTAATTATAATAAAAATAGATCAATAAATGGCATTAAGTCCTACAGGAAAGTTTCCTATAAGCTATGAGAGTCTCGATACCACATTTTTCGCAATCTAGGCCATTTTCGGATCTAGAATTCATACACCACAGATTCTAGATAGGAGTCTAATTTTGATCACGCATTGCGTGTTATTCGTACAACTAGTAAGCGAACGCCTCGATCTCGTCGTACTTCAATTTCACTAGCGGTTCATTTCAATGATGCAAATATTTGAGGGAAAAATGAACTCATACAAGAGATTTAATCTATCTATCGAACAAAAATGCGACGACTCGAAAATGACTAGACAAGACACACACCTGTTTTAGTCAACATAAAATTTAGCTACATGTAGATTAACTGAAATCGAAGATATCTGTCTTTCATAGATCGTTTGCCAGCCATGAACGTGCCAATATTTTGATAATTGAAGTTTTTCACGCACAATGTGCTCATCCATTTCTGAAGTCCAGTTCAGGCTTGTGGTAGGATTCCTCTCGCAAGCGCACACGTACAAATAGAGTCGTTTAAGATCCAGAAAATAAGTGATGAATAGTTTTTCCTACAAAAATAGATCGAAAAATTTGCATAACAACAGATGAAACTAGGAATGCATCAGTTCCAGAAATTGGAATTAATCGGAACTGGAAGTGGTGCATCCCTAGTTTCATCTGTTTTTATGCAAATATCTTTAAGCCACCTGATGATTCTTCTCTTAACCGAGATGAAATCGCGTTTGTGGTAATTATTTTTCATCCTCGCCCTTACTCTCACCTTCCTAGAGCATAAACTCAGTCTGAAGCTTATAGAAAAAATTTATTTTGTTTAGGACTAGAACCTTTTAGTAGATTAGGACAAGTAATAGGATGAAAATATTGTATAACATATAAGGCATAGATAAACACAATGTTAAATATAGGATATATGTCCTTCACATAGTATTATGTAAAATATAATAACTTATTTTAATTTCTAATCTGATCAATTACAGTCAAAAAGAATTTATATTTATTTTAAATCAACAAGAAAATGATACCCCTAATACACCACACACCCACTCAACCTCAAGAGAGTTAGAGAGCATATAGTTCTTTACATTGACTACAAAAATAACTAGATTCTGTTTTTTAAAAGAGCCATACTAAAAATTTTGTAGACAGGATAACACCATCATGACATTTATTTGTCTGAGTAACTGTTGAAAAGAATTTTTAACACGTTAAATAAAACTGCCTTATTCATGTCATATATAATCGTTTCGTGAGGATTCTAGATATATGACATATTTCTCCTTCGCTCTATCATATTCCTCCTTTACAAAGCGAAAGTCTGATCCTGGCCAGATCAAGAACTCTTCTTCATCTGGAAAATCAGATAAAGCCGAAATATCTGCACCACAAATTACATCTTCAGCTTCGTTGAATTGATCTTCCACATTTAGATGAATAATGAGAAGTGTATTACCAAAGTGTTCCGCGTTTCCTCGAGTTTTGGTAGCCGAAGTAAACGATGTGAATTTTATATTTGCTTTCGTAAATTCCTGCCGTTGTTCATCATTAAGATTTAAGCCACGATAGACTGTTGTAACACTATCTGTCGTATGGTTTTTCTTTAAATACCAATGCATCAGATGGCAGAAGGGACCATATGTTTTTAATTGGTCGATAGTCACCGTTTCTGGTTTACGAAAAAGACCATTAACAGATTTATACCAAAATGATTCTTTGGTATATAGATAAACACATGTTTCACCGATTTCTCTCGGAACACGAGAATATTGTGCTTTAACATCGTTGCCAAAATGTTTGACTGTGAAGAGCTGCTTAGCGAGCCATCGAGCTTCGTGTACTTTACCCAATGCTGCTCCTTCTTTGATAATTCCCAGAGCAGCATCTTCTGCTAGATCTGCCATTGTTTTAATTTTGTTCTCCAATTCAAGCTTCCAGTATTGCTTTGGTAGAGGATCTTTTTGAAGGACCAAAGGCGTGCAAGCAGCAGCGAGCATCACCGGAGTTACAAATCTCGCTTGACGCAAATGAACATTAGTGCGATTTCTATCTAGTTGAACACGCTTAATTCGAAATTGTTTGTGCAAATCGTTTTTCTTGTACTGAACAAGATGTTCAAAGTCTATAATACAGTTTCCGTCAATTTCCACTTCTGTCGTCACTTTCTCGTTGTAGGCATCTTCAATGAATTCGTTTTCGACGTCAGTGTACTTCTGCCACTGTTCTTGATCTTTAGTTGAATTCCAATACCATTGAAAATTACGGGAACGTTGAAGAACAGGTGCACTTAATAAACAAAAATTCGTTTCTACCAGAGAATGGACTGGTTGAGTTTCATTTGTCACATATACGCACGTAGGAGATGTGCAGCCCATTTTGTATTATTTTTCATGAAGCAGAATTCTTTCGAAAGGACGAATGAACGTGTTATCTCTTTTTTTTACAATAACAAGGAAATGCCCCGAGCACTACAGCTCTTTAGAAGCGGATTATTTTCTTTTATGATTACACACGTTGTAGAGAAGCTTAAAAAAAGCAGGAAAAAAGAAGTTGCAAGTGAGTAGGTGCTCTATCAAAAAAGATAAAAGACATTTCGGTTTCAATCACAAAAGAAAACTTAATTAAAACTGCATCAGAAGATGTATCTCTCACCATTTTATTTGAAATCGTATCGAACCTAGCCGAGAATTTTCATTTGAGAGCAGAACAAAAAATCCGACAGCTTTATCTCGACCTGTCAAAGCACTCGAATAGAGTTAACCGTGGCTACAATAATAGGAAAGCCGTCTTTTTACTAGAAAAGTATTTTTTTGTAAACCTGTTTTCCTCACAGTTAGAGAAACATGATGTTCGGCGCTGGAATCAACATGAAAAACTGTTACTCGTTATGCTCACATATAGAATTTTACCTTTTCTACAATAGTTGAACAAGGTTTATTTAAAATCCAAACAGCAACCTCTATGTGTTATTGTATCTCTACAAAAGTTTATCTGAACAAGACAGATAGCCGTATTTTCTTCTAACAGACGACAGTACATAGACATTTCGTCGTCAATCATCAATCGAGTGATAATGAATTCGATCGTTGATTGAGGTTGAAAATCATTCAGTAGAGAAGCATTCATCCAAGGTGGATCGATTTTGAACACGGGCTTTAAGACTTCAACGCGCTTGACAAACCTTTTGATCAAAGTATTGATACTTTGATAGCATCACGCATTGCGCGGAGGCCACAAACTCGATTTCCGAGGGGCTGAGAATGGATCAATTCCAGCCAAGATTTCTTCATTCGGATCTTGTTCACTATAGGATAAGACATGCTAAATAACCATTTCCGATGGAGCAATTCGAAATATTGATCATCAAACGCGAACGCAACAACTTCACCGATGAAACCGACTTCTTTTCGGGGATCGAATAATGCTGATTCAATGCATCGGCCTTTTCTATGTAATCAAGATACGGTCCTCAGAACATCGCACAGACCAATAAAGCATCACGAAAACCAGAACGGGTCTAAATCATTAATCGATCGATCAAATCGATATTGGAATCGAAAAGGAACCTGATGTTATCGAATGGTTTTCTCACCTTCCTACTGTTGCCGTTGCGCTTGAGCAAGGACCTGAAAGTCATTGTTGATATTGGCTATGACACGTTCCAGTTTATATGTTGATCGAAAAGAGCGATATCCACGGCTCAATTGGTCATCGTGACCAACGCCTTACGCTCGACTTTGTCTGAGAAGAATAACTGTTCTTCTTCAATAATTTGTAAGTCGTTGCCAATCGAACAAAGTGCAGTAAATACCATCGTTTGATTGATGACGACCGATTTTGTCACAGCTAGCCTCTTATGTAAAAAACCTCCCCAGACCTCAGCTGCTTTCAAATTTACAATGTACGAAAGCCACCGTGATGCGTGTCTATAGGGTTATTGTAGTCGTGATTTCTATTTAACAACGGATAATAGAACAAAACGTCTCTGTTTTTGTATGTTCAGTTTTATGGTGGTCGCTGTCAGTTCAATAGTCGACGTATCACTGTATGCATCGCTTTGATCGACGATATCCCTGCAACGACTGAATCGATTTTCTGCATTGACATTTTTGTCGTGGCCGGATTCAATGAAGAAGAACGTAATTACATCGAATGTCTGTCAGAACAATTGATGTTGCTTCTTCTTATCACCGGAAAGAAGGATTTGCCATTGTCAATTGATTGTACTTGATCAAACTGATTTGTTCGAATTATGACAAGCGGATTTGCCGATGAGACTCGTTACTGGTGTCGAATCAAGCATGAGAAGTGATTTTCGTGTTCGTCGATCGATGTCATGGTTGCCGGTTGTGATTTGATCGATCAGCAGCAAGGAAGGATTTTTCCCATTCTGATGAAGACGTTCTCGGCAGTTTCTTTCCGTATAATACCAAATGTCGAGTCAATTGTCGCAACAGAGCAGATGTCTTATTTCGAGCAGAAACAAGATTGATTTAACAGCAGCGATGAGCATAGCTGAGTTGTTATTTATTCAAGAAAGTCGACGTTTCGAGTCTTTTAGAGTTATTATCAAGACAAAACGTTAGAAATTCGCACAAAATGAAACAGAGAGAGAACTGTAGGCAAAATATAACATTTAAGTCAACTATATCTTTTCTAAATTAGGGCGAAAAACTCGGCATTCTCAATTTATTATCATATATTATATTGATATTGGTCGAAATTTCCCTGGACGTAGTCAGGCTAAGTTGATATTTAGAATTTTGTGGAAAGCCCACATGAATCTTGCCGGTAACAGCATAATAAAGATACGCCACTGCTGTTTATCTGCGATAGACACATTTAATCATAGACTTCGTGAGGAAAATTAATTGAGATTCTCTTTTTTCTTTTTTGTGTGATTTCTTCGGGATAAATAGAGACACTCCATTGAAATACACGGAGTTCTCAGAGACAAATCTCTACTGTCTCTCAGAAACCAAAGTTGGTTTTATATCAAGTGACAAAGTTCTTCAGAATGCTGAACTCTACCAAATCTGCAAACTAGCTCATTATTCCAGTGCATAAGCTATCATACTACACTACATGGGATATTGATTCGAATATATTTTATGGACTAAATTAAATTTAAAATTAATTATGATAACGAGAGACAACGACTTTGATAAAATCTTCTGTTTATGGCTTACATAAGTATCTTCTGTATTGATGCACTTCCAGCTGAAAAGTTACTGTAGTGAATCGTCCAATCAACAGCAGTATTTTCACAAATATGTTACTTTCTGCGAAACTAAAAGGACACAATTACAGAAAACAAGAGGCATTGGGCTTGAATACTTATTAAATACGATTTTATTTGCAACATTCGAATTTTTATGAACCCGTGAAATTGCGAAAGGTGTCGTCCTTCCACGCTGTGACTTTTCTACGACAACGAACACGTTAATGGCAGCGACTTTGAATGGACGGTTGGTTAGTACAAAGAAAGGATGTATTTTTGTGAATAATTCTGTAAAAGTTGATAGAAACAAACCTTTTTGTTTATATTTAAGCGATGCTGTCGGTTGTGCCTACTGAAACCGATCTTTGTTTGACGTATACATATTCGCTCGTACGTATACGAGAAACCAGACAACAGCAATCAAGAGAAGCAAGTAATGCGATAGAAAAGAAAAGAAAAACTTTCTGTTCTGATTGTAACAAATTTTTTTGTCTTGGTTGTTTTAACGAGAAACATCACGCTATGCAATAAATGATTTTAAACATAGCGAAGGCAGAGCAGATCATATATTACGTGTAACCTCCCGCCCAAGCATAAAAGGAAAGAAAGTGTTTTTCTATTAAGTTTCTTGTTAAAATATAGCGGGGCCCACCGGTGGACCTCATCGCCTCAAAAGGGATAAGAGCACGAGTGGAACCACCAAAAATGGTGTGGATGAGGATCTGATTGTGCGTGTGTGGATGTAACTGGTGAGTTTGGAAGTGAAAGTAGAGTGAATAATGATGCAAAATCTTACTCTTATTCAAAAACTCATCTTTGCTGAGTACACCCTCACCTTCACCAACACTATCCATCGCATTCTCAGCCGACTTTCTCTCTCACCTTCAACATGATCATTAACTACAGTCGTTTTTTGTCTTATTGCTGTTACGATTTTTAGTTTTACAGTGCATCAACATAATGCTCTAATGTTGTCCCTTCAAAATTAGAACTCCAATTTTCACCATAAGTAATACTACAAATTTAATCGGAATACCAGAAAGATTTGAGACAGGTATGAAAACGATACCAACCATGCTTTTTTAAATAGTCGACTATTAAACATGGATTGATAACGATCTATTTAGTAGGGTTAATTGAACACTTGCTCTCATCTATATCTTCAACATCGCACCACATCCCTGGTTACGACAGGTAGTGGGATATTTCATTCAAAATTCTCACCTTCTTTTTCTTGAGTTATTATAAGCATTGAATGAAATGAACGAATTTTGATCGCACAGCAAGTGGATCTAAGTGTGTGTCTTCAATTCGTTCCTTACCATCATCCGTTTCCTTGGATTAATCTTTTACTTAGTCAAAAAGATGTAAAAATGATAAATATAATATCAAAGAATTACCGTTAATATATAACGACGAATTTCTTCGATGGTTACAGAAGTATTTGACATCATCATGTTCTTTTATTAGAGATACACATGATCTATCTATCATTCTAATATAAATAGATTAATAGATAAGAAATATTATTTAAAATTAAACGATGACCGTGTTTCAAACAGCATAAATTCGTCATTATGCGTTATTAGCGTCATTTCATCAGATAGAAAACTGACTAATATTGCAAGCTACATTTACATTTGATGAGCAGCTGTAAGCAATTTATCAACTGTATTAAAAGCGATAAGAGTCTCTTATTAGTAAAAAAAGGAATGATGTTAGTCTGTGATCCAATGTTAGACTGTCCTTTTCTTCTTTTTTTCAGAAGAGAAATAAAGATATTATGACCGACCTAAAGACAAACGAAGAACATCTCTATATCGCTCAAATCTTTTAGGGTATAAGTAGACGATAATATCTATGACACAGATCTCTCATTCTATAGCAAAATTTTCCGAAGAATTTACACATGACAATGAAATTTATATGGAGTTGGCTTATCTTGACTATCGTGGGTGTAATATGTCTACCAGTGAAAGGAAATGTTAATTATACCAATTCAACGAATGCGACTACGATATGTCGTAATGCACGAACGAATCCGTTCTTGTCGACCTCGATTTGGAATACAGCTATCGGTAGTGGCGCAGTGTTTCACGATCCAGGTATCTTTCGTTCGCCATTTCCATTGCCCGCCAACTTCTTTTCCGATGA